TGAGTCTCAGTGACCTACAACCCAGCGACATCACCGACACCAATCAGTCTGACCACATGCTCGCCCAGAAAATCAGACCCAATCAGATTATCATCAAACAAAAACAAAACTACATCACCCACTGGACTGAGACCACACATCAACAGCACAAGCTTCAGTGCTATTCGGCCCTAAATCGAGATTATACATCAGCACCGCACCTCACAGCAATTACAGACAGACAACTGAGGAGAGTGCTGACCATGTACAGACTCAGTGAGCACAGCCTGGCCATCGAAACTGGCCGGCGCAGACAGACCTGGTTACCCAGAGAGGCCAGACTGTGCTCTCACTGCGAGCTCTCAGACAGAGCTGGTTACCCAGAGAGGCCAGACTGTGCTCTCACTGCGAGCTCTCAGTGGTGGAGACGGAGCTGCACTTCCTCACAGAGCTGCTCGAGATACGACTCCGTTAGAAAGGAGTTCTATGGGAGGTGAGCAGCGTCTGTCCTGAGTTCCAGCTCTGCAGTGACTCTGAGAAACTGCCGTACGTGTTGGGAGAGAAGAGCGAGCTGATCACACACGCAGCGAGATACGTGACCGCCTGTCACAGCCTGAGGGACAACCAGTGAGAGAGAGAGAGAGAGAGAGAGAGAGGGAGAGAGAGAGAGAGAGAGAGAGAGGGAGAGAGAGAGATGTATATATATATATAGAGAGAGAGAGGGAGAGAGAGAGAGAGACAGATGTATATATATATATAGAGAGAGAGAGAGAGAGAGCGAGAGAGAGAGAGAGAGAGAGACAGAGAGAGAGCGAGAGACATATACATATATATACAGAGAGAGGGAGAGAGAGAGACAAATATGATGATATCATTAAAACCTGCTTCATCTGTGTCCTTATTACAGTCTAATAAATGTGTAATAGAGCAGTGAACAGCAGGAATGGATGGAAATGTCTGTTTCAGAACTCTTTATTCAGCTCTTTGATCATCATGTTTAAAATGTGTTTATAGATTAAATTTACTTAAACCCAGTTTCTGTGACTTTAGTGTCTTTTTTGGTAACACTTTACAATCAGGGTTCATGAAATGGCTTTAATTCATGCTTTATTTCATGAGTGAGTCATCATTAATCATACATGTAATACATCATGAGTCATCATGAATATTCATAAAGTAAGCATGTCTCATGCTTTAATGCAGGAGCACTATATTAATTCATGTAGTGATTAAGATATAAATATCATCAGGTGACGAGTTATTCATGATGTTCATACAGGTCTTCATTCATCAGGTCAACTGGGACAAACTGAATGGTCAGACAAAACTTCATAGAGCAAGAATGATGAGCATCACTAAATCATCACTTCTTCATGAGGTCATGATGTTTGTGTTCCTCAAAGTAAAGTGGTGAAATATTCCTTCTTTAATACTGTTGTGTTGATGATGAAACAACAGAGGAACTAAACCATTAATTAATCAATAATTCTGTATTATGTTGAATCTGAATAGTGGACGTGGAGGTACTGGCATCACGTTATGGAGGAGCCGGTCTGCCAAAATGAAAAATAAACAAAATAAAATAAAAAAAGACTCAGTAAAATAATCAACAAAAAAAAACTGAATTATGTATATTTTGCTTATTTTGATTGTAATTATACACATATTTCCTTTTTTCTGCAGTTAGATATTTCTCAATTTCATTTATTTCTATATTATTTATGTTAATTTTAATATTTTTTCTATATCTATATTTTTAACAATTGTTCATTTATTGATTAATTAATTCATTTATTTATTTCTGTATTTCTTCATATGATAATGAAGGGGCGTGTTTTTCACGTTCAGGCTTTCAAAACACTTTCAAGAAACGCACCCCAAAATAGGAAATGTTAGCATGACCAGGTTCATCAAGCTGGCCATGCTGACCATGACAGTGTTTGCGGCTTTCCAGGCTCTTTGACTGTCTGAAAACAGCTACTAGCAAAGCTGGTCTTAGCTGGATTCTTTAGCAGGAGTGTCTTATGGTGAAGGCCATTCAGGTAATACTGCTCTTTGCTGTTTGGTGATCGATCAGTCTTGACTACATGCTGCACCGTTTTCAGTTGCTGAAAACGTAAATGAGTGCTTTGTGTTCCTGTTCCAGCCGCATGTTCACGCTTGTGAACTAAAAGTGCTTTACTATACGCGTCCACGGACTGAATCTGTGAACATCTGTTATCACCTTTTTTGGCGATGTATTCTACTCTTTCAAACTGTTTCACACAGCTGTTCACCCAGTCAACACTCGAGGCTACACTTCACTCACACACACAGTACCAACAACACACACACACACAAACACACACACACACACACACACACACACACAGTACCAACAACACACACAAACACAAACACACACACACACACACACACACAGTACCAACAACACACACAAACACAAACACACACACACACAAACACACAGTACCAACAACACACAGTACCAACAACACACACACACAAACACACACACACACACACACAAACACACACACACAGTACCAACAACACACACACACAAACACACACACTCTCACACACACAGTACCAACACACACACACACACACACACACACAGTACGAACACACACACACACACACACACACACACAGTACGAACACACACACTCACACACACACAGACAGTACCAACAACACACAGTACCAACCACACACAAACACACACACACAGTACCAGCAACACACAAAAACACACACAACAACACACACACAGTACCAACAACATACACAGTACCAACGACACACACACAAACACACACAGGACCAACACACACAAACACAGTACCAACAACACACACACACACAGTACCAACAACACACACAGTACCAACAACACAAACACACACACACACACACAGTACCAACACACAAACACAGTACCAACAACACACAGTACCAACACAAACACACACTCACACAGTACCAACACACAAACACACTCACACAGGACCAACACACAAACACACTCACACAGGACCAACACACACAAACACAGTACCAACACACAAACACACACACACACACACACACACACACACACAGTACCAACAAATCACACACACAAGCACACACACACACAGTACCTACACACACACACACACACACACAGTACCTACACACACACACACACACACACACACAGTACCAATAACACACAGAAACACACACAGTACCAAACACACACACACACACACACACACACAGTACAAACACACACACACACACACACACACACACACACACAGTACCAACAACACACAAACAACACAAACACAGTAACAACACACACACACACAGTACCAACAACACACAAAAACACAAACACAGTACCAACAACACACACGCACACACAAACAGTACCAACACACACACACACACACACAGACAGTACCAACAACACACAAAAACACAAACACAGTGCCAACAACACACACGCACACACACACAAGCACACACACACACACACACACACACACACAGTACCAACAACACACAAAAACACAAACACAGTACCAACAACACACACGCACACACAAACAGTACCAACACACACACACACACAGACAGTACCAACAACACACAAAAACACAAACACAGTGCCAACAACACACACGCACACACACACAAGCACACACACACACACACACACACACACAGACAGTACCAACAACACACAAAAACACAAACACAGTGCCAACAACACACACGCACACACACACAAGCACACACACACAGTACCAACAACACACAAACACACACAGTACCAACAACACACACAAACACACACACACACACACACAGTACCAACAACACACACAAACACACACACACAGTACCAACAACACACAAAAACACACACACACACAGTACCAACAACACACAAACACACACACACACACACAGTACCAGCAACACACAAACACACACACACAGTACCAACAACACACACAAACACACACACAGTACCAACAACACACACACACACACAGACAGTACCAACAACAAACACACACACACACACAAACACACAGTAGCAACCACACACACACACAGTACCAACAAAACAAACACACACACACACACACACAGTACCAACAACACACACACACACACACAGTACCAACAACACACACACAAACACACACACAGTACCAACACACACAAACACACACACAGTACCAACAACACAAACACACACAGTACCAACAACAAACACACACACACACACACACACACACACACACACACATTTCCAACAACACACACACACACACAGTACCAACACACACAAACACACACACACACACACACACACACACACAGTACCAACACACACACAGACACACAAACAGTACCAACACACACACAGACAGTACCAACAACACACAAAAACACAAACACTGCCAACAACACACACACACACACACAGTACCAACAACACAAACACACACAGTACCAGCAACACACACACACACACACACACACAGTACCAACAACACACACACACACAGTACCAACAACACACACAAACACACACACACAGTACCAACAACAAACACACACACACAAACACACAGTAGCAACCACACACACACACACACACAGTACCAACAACACAAACACACACAGTACCAACAACAAACACACACACACACACACACACACACACACACACATTTCCAACAACACACACACACACACACAGTACCAACACACACACAGACACACAAACAGTACCAACAACACACAAAAACACAAACACTGCCAACAACACACACACACACACACAGTACCAACAACACACAAACACACACAGTACCAGCAACACACACAAACACACACACACAGTACCAACAACACACAAACACACACAGTACCAGCAACACACACACACACACACACACAGTACCAACACACACACACACACAGTACCAACAACACACACAAACACACAC